GAGTAGAAGTCATGGATAATCTTCTCCATTGCCCTTCTGGAAGATGTGGCAGATCCATCAGGATATTGGAGGGCAGTCATCTTGGTCTTGTTGTTGGCGAAAGATAGGCAGGCGTTGCGAATGCTTTTCCCGGCTTCTGCCGCATCTGCCAGCACTGCTGCTCTTCTCTCTTTGAGGTCTTCTTTATCGCTTTTCTGCACTGCTTTGCGAGCTCAGATGTTCGCTTGTGGTTGCCTGAGGCTTGTGCCCAGCCATGTTGGCGAATGAGCTTGAGAGTTTCGAAGACAGGTGTCTTTTGTCCACAAGATAATTGATACAAATTTTAAAACTATTTGTTAATATAAATATGAATTGAAAATTAATAGTATAAATAAATCTATGGTAATTCATTTAAAAATGTACGTGGGATAGATAAATCTTTCAGATAATACAGTTTAGTTAGAGTGAGAATTAAGAAAATCATAAGGGGAATATCTAAATAAACCTATAAGGGTATTTTATCTTAAAAAGGGAATATTATTTATTTATTTATTAGTGAGACACCATGAGGTACAGTTGTAGACTTACAAATTTTGTGCTTGGGTTTCAGTTATACAATGATCAAGTACCCATCCCTCCACCAGTGCCCATTTCCCACCACCACGGATCCCAGTATCCCTCCCACCCCCCATCCCCCCATCTCACCCTGCCTCTGTGGCAGGGCATCCCCCTCTGTCCTCTCTCTCCTTTTGGGTGTTGTGGTTTGCAAAAGAGGCATTGAGTGGCAATCATGTTTGGTCTATAGTCTACTTTCAGCATGCTTCTCCCATCTTGGGAGGATCCTCCCAACACCCTTTATTTGGTGCTCCCTTCTCTATCTGAGCTCCCTTTTCCCCTAGCATGTGTGGCTGGCCTCCAAGCCATGGAACAAAATTCCTGGTACTAATCTCAGCCATTCTTGGGTGTTAATCTCCTATTTTGTTACTTTATGTTCCCCAGATGAATGCAATCTTTCTATGTCTATCCCTTTCTTTCTCAGTCATTTCGCTTAACATGATACTTTCAATGTGGTACACTTGTATGTAAATTTCATGACTTCATCTTTTCTAACAGCTACATAGTACTCCATTTTTTCCAAAATAGACCATGTGCTAGGCCACAAAACATACCTGAATAGAATCAGGAAGATAGAAATAGTATCAGCCATCTTTTCAGACCACAATGCACAGAGGATAGAAGTGAATCACACACAGACACGGAGAACCAAATCAAACACCTGGAAATTAAACAACTCAATGCTGAACAACGAGTGGGTCAGGAAGGAAGTCAAGGACAAAATCAAAACATACCTGGAAACAAATGACAATGAAGACATGAGCTACCAGAACTCACGGGATGCAGGGAATATTAGTTTTATGTTAGAAATCATTATAGGGGCTGGAGTGATAGCACAGTGGGTAGGGCTTTTGCTTTGCACTCGGCTGACCCGGGTTCAGTTCCCAGCATCCCATGTGGTCCCCTGAGCACCGCCAGGAATTACACAGGTAATTCCTGAGTACAGAGCCAGGAGTAACCCCTGTACATTGCTGGGTGTGACCCAAAAAGGAAAAAAAAAAGAAATCATTATAAATAATGCCAAGCATCTGCATTAATAAGTAAAAGGTTATAATAAAAATCTATGGAAGTTAAAATATCACTTGTATAGACAGTCAACATTTAATATGTAACATCAATTCATTATTGAAAAAGAATAAAATCCCATAAGATATGAGTAAAAATACCTTTTTTTTCCTTTTTGGAAATATTTTTGTTTAGTTAAAAAAATTGATTGAAGATCCATGATTTACAAAGTTAGTGATAGTTGACTCTTAAGCATACAGTAATTTAGCACCAACTTCTCCACCAGTGTCAGCCTCCCTCTATCAGTGTTCTCAGATCCCCTCCCCACACCAACAGCCACGATACCCCTACCAGTCACCCTGCCAGGCACATTACAAAGTTTCATTCTTGCTACTTAGGTTTCATGTTTTCAGTTCTGTTGAATTTGTGTTTTGGATTTACGGCTAGACACCCCCACTTATATCACTGGTATGACTGAAGCCCTGCTGCCTGTTCACCCATTACTTCCCTTTCTCTTCTTCCTTCCCTCCTTGATTTCTTTCCTTCTTTTTCTCTCTAACCACTAGGGTCAGGGGTGTTCTAGGCATCCCACATTTACAATACATTTCCTCATCCAGTATTCTGTATTCCACAGATAACTGAGACCATCCTGTGTTTGTCTTTCCCTCTGGCTTTCTTCCTTCAACATAATATCTTTCAGTTCCAACCAGTTGCTGCAAATTGCATTATTTTATTGTTCCTTGAAGCTGCAACTATTCCATTGTGTCTGTTTAGCACATCTTCATAATCCACTCATCTGTCATTGGACACCTAGGTTGGTTTCATGTCTTAGCTGTTGTTCTGAGTGCGGCAATGAATACTGGTGTGCATATATCCTTTTGGGAGAGTGTTTTTCTTGTCCTGCGGATAGATGCCCAAAAGTGTAATTGCTGGGTCATTTGGCAATTCAGTTCTAAGTTTACTGAGAACTCTCCATACTTTTTCCCACAGGGGTTGTACCAGACAACATTCCGACCAGCAGTGGATGAGAGTTCCTTTTTCATCGCATCCCCTTTAATACAGATTGCTTCTACTATTTTTGATATGTACCATTCTCACTAGTGTGAGATGCCATCTCATTGTCGTCTTGATGTGGATTTCTCTGATGCTAAGTGATGCTGTCCATTTTTCTCATGTGCCTACTGGCCATCCACCTGTCTTTCTGTGAGAAGTATCTGTTCATTTCCTCCCCCGACTTGTTGACAGGGTTTTTGAATTTTTTTTTTTTTGGTTACTGTTATTTGTGAGTACTTTATCTATCCTGGATATCAAACCTTTATGTGATATGTTGAATGCGAATTTTTTTCCCCATTCAGTTACTTGTCTTTTAACTTTAGCCCGTGTTTTAATTTTTTTGTCGCGCAGAAACTAACTTTACATACTCCCATTTGTTTATTTTTTATTTTGTTGCCTTTGCGAGTCATATCTGATCATTGAAGGCTCCTTTGAGGTCCAAATCTTGAAGCCTTCTGTTTTGCTATAATGTACATTATAGTTTCTGGTTGGATTCAAGGTCTTTCATCTACTTTGAATTGACTTTTATGTAAAGTGTAAGATAAGGATCCAGCTTTAGTTTCTTATGTAGTTATCCAATTTTCCCAGCACCATTTGTTGAAGAGATAATCTTTACTTCATTTCAAGTTCTCAGCTCCTTTATTGAAAATTAACTACCCATGTATACATAGGATTTTGTCATAGGGTATTCGATTCTGACCCATTGATCAGGGAGGGCCTGTCCTTATTCCAATACTATGCAGTTTTGATCACTATAACTTTATAATATAGTTCCAAATTAGGTCATGAAATAGCTCTGTATTTCTTATTTGTTCAGTATGGTTTTGACTATTTGTTGTCTTTTTTTGATTCCATACAAATTTTATGATTGAGTTTTCTAGATTGTAGAATAACGTTGTCTGAATTTGGATGGGGATTGCATTGCATCTGCATAATAGCTTAGGTAGGATAATCATTTTAATAATATTGATTCATCCAATCCATGAGCATTGAATATTGTTCCATTTCCTAAAATCTTCCTCTATCTTTTTCTAAAGTGATTAAAAGTCATCATGGTATACATCTCCTGCATCTTTTGATGTTTTTGGATACTGCTTTAAATGGGATAGACTTCTTGATTACTTTCTTTTCGGATTCATTCTTTTAAACAGAATTTTTTTTTTTTAACCTAGTGGAGGCCAACCATAAGTGCCACGAATGATGTCATACTCACTGGCAAAGTGCTGAGAAGTTTGTCTTGTCTTTTTTTTTTTTTCTTTTGCCACATCTGATGGTGTTCAGGGCTTACTCTTGGCTCTGTGCTTAGGGATTACTCCTGCTAGGGTTTGGGATGCTGGGGATTGAACCCAGTTGACTGAGTTCTTACTATGTTCTTACCTGCTGTTCTATCTCTTCTCCCCATTGTCTTTTAAAGACTTACGTTTTGGGTGGTGGTGGTGCTGCCCAGGTCTTACACCTGGCTCTGTGCACAGATATGACTCCTAATGGGGTTCTGGGGACCTTATGAGGTGCTGGAAATCAAACCCACATTGGTCTTTTGCAAGGCCAAGTGCCTTACATGTTGTAATAGCTCTCTGGCCCCCAAAGAAGCTCTTTTTTACTTTATTTTTTAAACTTTTTAATTGAATCACTGTGAGGTAGACCCTTACAAAGCTGTTCATGATTGAATTTCAGTCATACAGTATTCCAGCACCCATCCCTCCACCAGTGTACATTTCCCACCACCAGTGTCTCCCATCACCCCCACCCCCCACCCTCTGCCTGCCTCTATGGTAGGAGCTTTTCTTCTCTCTCTCTCTCTCTCTCTCTCTCTCCCTCTCTCCCTCACATTCTCACACACTCTCCCTCTCCCTCCCTTTCTCTCTCTCTTTCTCTCTCTCCTTCTGGGCATTGTGATTTGCAATATTGATACTAAAAGGTTATCAAAAATATTCATTACCTACTTTTAACCCTTTAACCCTCAAATCTTATTCGGTGTAATCATTACCAGCTCTTATTGTCATACTGGTCTCTTCTCTATAAAGAAGCTCATTTAATGCTTCTTGCAAAACTGGTTTCAGTGCTACCATATTTAAGTTTTTAATCATGTAGCAGATTCTGTATAGTTTTTTCTGTTCAGTGGAGTAAGAAACTGAGACGTAATCAGGCTAGGAAGCTTATTAAAACAATTTTAACTTGCACAATATGGTTTTGTACCTTTGGTTGTCTAAAAAGTTACTTGATACTGGTTTTGATGAACAGTAATTCTGTAAATATTTTGATATTGAAAATTTTCTCCCTCTTTTCAGAAAGTAATTTGGTTAGTCGAATAAAACATCACTAACTTTTATTTAACATTTTGTTTTAAGGAATTGAAATTACCATTCACATTTTTAAGTGGACATATTCATGAATTGAGGATTCATGTACCGTGGACAAAACTGGGTTCAGAACCTGTGGTAATTACCATCAATACAATGGAATGTATTTTGAAACTTAAAGATGGAATACAGGTAAGAAATTATTTGAACCTAATTTTGTTAACCTGTTTCAACAGTTATTTAATATTTTTGTAACTTTTAGAATATGTTTTCAACTTTATGTAAATAGCACTACACTGTAGCACTGTCCTCCCGTTGTTCCTGATTTGCTCAGGCGGGTACCAGTATCGTGTTCATTGTAAGACTTGTTGTTGCTGTCTTTGGCATATTGAATACACCACGGGGAGGCTCTGCTGTGATAGTAAAAGTCTAACTAAGAAATAGAGATTGTGGGGTTGGAGCAATAGGATAGCAAGTAAGGCATTAGCCTTGCCTGCAGCTGACCTGGGTTTGATCCCCGGCATCCCGTAGGTCCCCTGAGCACCGCCAGGAGTAATTTCTAAGTGCAAATCCATGAGTAACCCCTGAGCATTGCCAGGTATGGCCCAAAAAGAAAGAAAAGAAAAGAAAAGAAAAAAGTTATTTTCCTTAGAAAATCTAATGGTCCAGGGCTGGAGTGATAGCACAGAGGATAGGGTGTTTGCAAATTTATAAATAAATGTAACATAATTATACTACTAGTTTGCCTAAATGTGTATAAACTTTAGATATAGTCGCAACATTTCATATGCCTGTAGAACTTTATTGTAGAGTTATGTTTTTTTTCTCTAATTTTGCTTAATCTGTTAAACCCTAATTGGGATCACTTATAATGCTCATTACCTATTTCCACTGGAACTGGGGTCTGGTAATGCTCAGTTTCCAGGTGAAGACTTTTCAATTTTGGCTAGAAAATTGTATGATTTTTTTTGTTTGTTTACATAGATGAATACATGACATTTCTAAATGAGGTGAAAATTTTGCATGTCATTTTTAGGAAAATGAAAATAGATTGATTTTACCTTATACCCAAATCTATTGTATCTTTCAAATTTTGGCATCAGAATTGGATTTTTTCCCCTAAATTCTTCATAGTCCCATATTATACTTCTTTTTAGTGTTTTTCTAAAGGTATATTAAAATTTTAAATGCTTCCTGTCAGAGTTTTCTAGGAAGGAAATAGCTCTGTATTGCAGCAGTCTGAAGAACTATTCTACTTTCATCTCGTAGAAAAGAAGTGCCTTTCTTTTATAATTTTTCCTTATCTCATGTTTTGCTTTCAGTTTAAAGAACTTTCTAAAACCAAGTTTATTGGTTAGTATTTCAAAGTTGCATTTCAATTATAACCTCAGTGTCTCTTGTGCATTTAGTTACATGCATTTGTAAATTGGAAGTAATTTGAGTGTTTTATCAAACCACTGGGTTTAAACCTTATTTTTTTCTTTTTTGATATTTTGCAAACTTATTATTCAGTTTAACATAACTAATGGTAATTCTTTGTTATGTTCTTATATGAAAAAAATAGGTCAACGTATTTCATTGAAAATTTATTTTGTGAACTTTAAATATTTGTGAGATTGATTTGGAAATCTAGAGGTGGTTATATTGTATTAAGTTTTACTTTGCATTTTTATTTGGTAATACTTAAAAGGTTCTTAATCATCATCTGTTCTAGGAATTTAATTTTTCAAAAGTCTGGAGTTGGTTATACCACCCATGCAGTGCTCACCATATTAAGAGGGGGAAAAAATCCAGACACTAAGTATTTTTTCAATGGTAAGGTGGAAGTTTCAAGGCCAGATGTCCCATAAGAAACACATTTTAAAAGAGGCAAATTACAACTAATTATAGAGGCAGCAGAAAAAGATTTGTAACACATGACTTAGTTCAACCTAGAACTAATATTTGATATTGGAACTTGCAGAAGGCTACTGCAGGAATGATCAGATTTCCTGCCTGCATTGGTATTTGAGACATGAATTTTGTATTGTGTACAGCAAAAGGTCAAGTGTCATGAGTATAAATCGCTCTCAAAACAAGTATTTTTTACAGATGTTTGAGATTTTGAGGTAGAAAGGATTTTTGAAAATTGCAGTTGACATTTGGACAAATTATTCTGCAGTGTCTATCCCTGGAGAGTAATACTTTGGTTTATACTAGTGATTGAAATTATTTTTTTCTGTATAAATATAACAGTTGAATCTCATTTTTAAAGTTTATTTTCATATTTTAAACTGATTATTGTATTAATATGCTTGTAGTAATAAAATTGAATAAGCCCGTATTTAATCTCCCAGCTCTTAGGGAATCATAAGGAATTGTTTTACAAATAAAATTAGTATGTGATGGAAGGAACACTTTTGTTATATATTTAAATTTAAATAAAATGTTACAAATGTTTTAAGGAGACATGTCTACTTTATCATATTTATGCTACACTTTGCTTAATTTTTTTTTGGCCAGAAGCCTAGCTTTTTAAAAATCAATTATTAAAATTTGAGCTTGTAGTTTTATGTAATAGATTAACATATTTACAATACTATTATTAACATATTTACAATACTATTTACTATTTTTTGAATTTCCTAATTCAAAATTTGGAATTAGGAAGTATGGAAAATTTTGGAAATGAAGTATATGTTTTCTTTTTTCTTTGTATCATATTTGCATCTATGAAGTCTTAAAGTAGACTTATCAAAATATGCAGGTTAAAATGTTGAACACAGTAGGATTAGTTTGACTTTCAGCTATACCTTAATGACAAAATTTTGATTATAACTGCAAATTTTATGTCATCGATCCAGAGGAGTTACATTTTTACTCTTGACTGTGACATTGTATTCATTATTTCTTGAAATTGTTTCAAGTTCTATCTTAACTGCTTATTTGTTTTTCTACAAAGTATATGTAAGGTCAAATTAGACTCAAAGATATTAGGTATTTATTTTTATTTGAATTATTCTAATTTAGTCTATTTATCCAAAGGGCTTCAGGATTGCTTTTTTTTAAGGTAGAATAGACAAGTGGAGCTTACTTTTTTTTTTTTCCTTTTTGGGTCACACCTGGTGATGCTCAGGGATTGCTCCTGGCTTTGCACTCAGGGATTATTCCCGGCGGTGCTCAGGGGACCATATGGGATGCTGGGAATTGAACCCGGGTCAGCTGTGTGCAAGGCAAATGCCCTGCCCGCTGTGCTATTGCTCCAGCCCCAAAGCTTTTGATCCTATGCCAGCTTCTAGCTATTCTGCATGGCAGAACTTTTCTGGAATGTAGAGACTTTATGTAATATTAGAGCATATTTTTTCCTTTATTTAAATTTTGTCAGGATTTTCTATTTATTTGAAGGTCTGTAGACTACTAATGATTTTATTCCTATCTCCCTCGGGATTTGGTTGATTTACATACTGATCATCACTGACATGCGGTCTTTGGAAATTTTAGTACTGATCATTATAGATTTAATAATGTTGCATTGAGTAATTAGTCTTTATTAATTAAAAAAAGTAAAACTGGAAGTTAAAATGAGATCAGGAGGCGAGCAACCAAATGTCATCTCCCTCAGCTTGACCGAAAGCTGTGAGTGCCGTCACTGTCACTGGTCAGATCATTATGCCTTGTTTTAAATTTTAAGTTTTATGTAAAAGGTAAAAGGTAAAGGCTCTCCCGTTGATCGTCGATTTGCTTGAGCGGGCCCAGTAACGTCTCCATTGGAGACTTTGTTGTTACTGTGTCTGGCATATCGAATACTCTCGGTAGCTTGCTGGGCTCTCCGAGAGGGGCGGAGGAATCGAACTCGGGTCGGCCATGTTGGCCGCTTGTAAGGCGAACGCCCTACCCGCTGTGCTAGTATATATTTAATTAGATTAGCTATACACTAATACTAATAGTCTGTTTTGCAGACAAATGCACTATCTCTTGATGGTTATCTATTGCCATCTTCCGCTGACCTCTTGTGTTCTCTCCCCACGATTGAAAACTCCTATTACTTGATTCACAGTCTTTCTCCGAAGTTCTTCTGTGCTGGGGCGGAAAGCTAGGTGAGAGGCTGGAGTGCATGCTTTGCATGCAGGAAGCCCTGGGTAGGACCCTGGCATTTGGTCCCCACAGCATAGGCAGAAATGACTCCCAAGCAGTGAACCAGGAGTATCCTGCTCCTGAGTACTTCCGGGTATGATTCCCCCAGTCAAACAAAACCAATCACTCCAGTCCAGTTTTCAGTGTCTCTTTTGATTCTAGCACAACTAACAACAGTTTCTTTAGTCCATTTCATCTCTTTCTTTATGACCTTACTCTGGACATTGTTGTTGCATGAAAACAATTCATTCTTTCTTTCATTGGTTGGACTTCTCTGTATCTCTAGGTTCCATGTTGCCATTTGGGCATTTTTGCCGCTTTCCCCCCCTGTCTTTCATTCAGTAGTACTCAGGGCTTAGTCCTGGTTCTGCACTCAGGATCACACCTGGTGGCACTGCTCGGTAGACCATGTGGGATGCCAGGTCTGCTGCAAGGCAAGTACCCTGTCCATTTTATAGTATTCAGTTTTTTTGTTTTATCTTTGTGAAGAGGTTTTTTTCCTTTTTGAACGGTAAAAAGCATATTTATTCTTTCATAGTGCTTCTATCATACCTAGAATAAAAGAAGGTTACACTTGTTTAAGTAATGAAGTATTTTCTCAGAATAATAAGTCACTGGGGTTATCCTGGAAGAGCCAGAACAATAAGTATCTCTTCTGATGTTCAGTGTTGTAGATACTGTAGCTTATATGTCTGATGGCCGAGGAACAACAGCACTGGCTTGAGACTTCACGTGTTGGTGACTGCAGGTTCTCCTTTCAGGGAAAACACGCTCAGCCCTCTGAGCTGTCTCTACTGTCTCTGTTTCACCATTTTTTCTAGCAGGCTCTTTCTCTGATCCTCTTTTGAATAGGGTGTGTGTGTGTGTGTGTGTGTGTGTGTGTGTGTGTGTGTGTATTTGTGCATGTGGTGTGTTTGCTTTTTCTTTTTTGATGATGGAGATTGAACCCAGGCCTCAGATGTGCATTCCAACAATAAGCTACATTTCTGGCTCTATAGATGTATTTTATGGATTCTTCTGTGATATCTGAGGGTCCTGGAGCCTCTCTTGGTGATATTCAACGTGGCAGTGTGGGCCTG